CCTAAATCAACTGTCAGAAATTATTAACCAAAATGGGTTTGGTATCTTAGCGATGTTTAATATACTATCTATCTTATTCAGTGTTATGGTCTTACAATCCCAGACTTTCTTACGAATTGTATAATATTCTTGTGTTGGTGGGAATGTTTTGTTTACCTGTGGTATAGTTGGATGGGTGATTGGATAAGATTTGGGCGGTAGTAAATGTTACCTGTATTGATTGATTGTTCCAGGCATCTATATCATTCCGTTGTCATCATGCGATATTCTCCTGAACTGGCCATAGTAATTACCTTACCCCAGTATGGTTTGGTAGGGTGTTTGATGGAACGTTTGTGGTTAACCCTTTCACATTCATCAACTGCCATTACTCACTCTTTCATTCATTGTACCACACAACCATTGGGATGATAATTAGTACTCTGATTCATCTTTGCCATAGGAATGAAATGATGGTTTGTAGTGACACTTATCTCAGCATTGCACTGAACTAACTGTATTTATAATTATGTAACATTAAAAGTTTTTTCTGATTTTCAAGAATGAGAGAAGATATTTTGGAAAATGAAAGAGAAGCTGGAGATGATGATTTACAACCACCTCCAGTAAAAAGGTTTCGAGCGAAAACCAGTGGTCCAATCAGATGTGTTGTTCCTGAATGTCCGAGCTTTAGCAAAGCAGATGGAGTGATGCTAAGCTATAAGCATTTCCCTACCGGTTATTTAATGTAATTGAACAGGCTAAGTTTCCACTGTCTAAATACAGTTCACATTCACAACATAATTTGTCATTTTCTTTAACTTGTGTAGAACTTAAAGGTGAAAGATTAAATGTTACAATGTTCATTACATGTTGCATTAGCAAAGTCAATATTATTAGTATTGTGCTAGGAAGGGCAGTTTTTTTTTTTTTGTAATTCGACTTTTATTCAAACTTCCACCTCATTTGAATTCATGTCCTTTCTGTAATTTTTTGCTTAATTCAAGAAATATGCTGGGCTCTAAAACTGTTCTGAATGTGTGCTGTTAAAGAGTGTACTCAGTTATCCTTTATTCTACTTACTAATGTGTTTGTGCTCTTTGTTTTCTAAACAATACTCTGTATGATTTCAGGGGAAGAAAATGGATGAAAGTTCTTGGAAACCCTGCATTGTTGAAGAAATCACTAAAACAACTTCAAAACTGTCGTGTGTGTGGCAATCACTTTTGTCCGACAGATAAGAACCCCTCAGGAAAAAAGAAGAAAGGTGTTATACCCACATTATACCTTCCTGATCCTTTAAGTGACGCGCAGTTAAAAGATTGGGTTGAACCTGATCCCCTGAAACAACCACGGAATCAGGTGCTATCACGTAAGTGTTTGTAGTATAGATACAGTTATGGGTCTGTATCTCTGCAGACTGTGACAAGTTATGGAGATGTGTAGAAACCACACTTTAAAATATTGAACTCTCTCTTACACGATACTTCTTTAAAACAGATACAAACAAATATGTATCTCATTTGCTGGAAAATCTCTGTTTTACTTCTTTGGTGTCAAGTAGTATATCAAATGTTGCCCAACTGAGTAGTAATTTTATTTTGATGTCTTGAAGTCTCATGAGAGATTACATTACTAAAATCTGTGAAAGTTAATACTATAACAATTTTGCAAGATTAATTATGCACTTCTGAATATTTTACTGACTCATCACTTATTGTTGGTTTACAGCCAGGAATGATGAACCAGCTGATGACCTGAATTGCCTGAATGATTCAGTCAACCAATCTATCAATCAACTTAGTCCCGGAAATGACGTTGATTCTGCCAGTTCAACAGGTAATGAATATTATTGCAACTATTTTTTCTCTTAAAATGATTATGAGCAAAATTTGTGCCAGTTACTACTTTATCAGTTCTGCAAGGTTAATAATGCACTTCCAAATATTTTACTGACTCATCACTCTGTGTTTGTTTACAGCCAGGAATATATTTGACGAACCAGCTGATGACCAGAATGATATAGTCAACCAATCTGGCAATCAACTTAGTCCTGGAAATAATGTTGATTCTGCCAGTTCAACAGGTAATGAATGTTATATACCAGTATACATTATGAATAATGAAATTGATTCACTGTTCAAGTTACTGTATTTTGTCACAACAAGTATGCCTCTTAAATTTCACAAAACTATCACATGGAAAAAAAGTTTCTACTTACACTTACATTGCCTATTGACTTAAAATTATAGTTTCAACTGAATTTTGAATTTTTGTATCTGTTCTTAAACTGTAGTCCTGTTTTCATTTCTCACCTCACACTCTTCTTTCTTTGTATTTTTACAGATGTACTTAGGCCTCTTTTACCTGGAGAAATTGAAGTCACTCCATTGGTTTGTGTCCAAGGCACTTTTCATCAAGGACAACATGAACAATTTTCAGTAGACTCGTTTGGCAAGCAGTGTACTGCAAATGCAGCATACTCTATAGCAATGGCATCCTGCTTCAAGCCTGATGATTGGAGTGCTTCAACTATGGAT